TAGAAAAATATACTATAATTACACCGAAGTTTGTAACAAAAGCGACCACAATATGCAATTAATTTTCTTTGCAAGGTCAAAGAAGCGTCATAAATCTATGGTAGGGCCACACAGCAATTTCTGTTATTGTACGAACGAATGGGTAATGGGATTAGGGGCTCAGGGAAGATCTGCGAGAAGTGAAATTATTATACTTATGTGTTTCTCCTGCTTAGTGAGGTAACTAGGCCCTTCTACTTCAAAGGTTATCAACGCCACTGTAAATCCAAAGGTTTCGCAGGATTTATGTGTAGCGCTGGCGGCTAGACCCAATTCTAATATAAAAGGAAACTTGTAACTCTTTGTTCACACGATAGTAGTTTATCATTATACTCCGAGTATAATGGTAAACTTTCAAATGTGAACCGATATGGCAAATTCTTTATGCATTGGGTAATTTCATTGGACCTTATCTCCGTGGATACATCAGGAAACTCCTTATATTCATATCGGTCTGCGTTTTAATTATTAATTGTTAATAATAAATGTCATACTAGTTACTGTGGATATGAGTAGCTTCTGCTGTACCACGATCTTAAATACTTCTGGGTATTGTCTAGTCAGTGAAGTAAACGGGTCCCACAATTTAATAAGTTAGCAATAAATCTGCAATCACATGATTCAAAGATTCAAGGATTACCCTCGCCTATCTTCATAAAAATGTTAAAATGCGTTTTATTCTCTAGGATGTAGAAATACAAACAAGAATATATAAGTATGTATTTGCGTATAATGTCGGTCAGTGAAGATCATGACGATGAGGGAAACAACAAAATAATGATTTTCATTTAGGTGAGATACGTTTAAAAATAATACCTTGGTCATACAGATATAGTAAAACTTATACTTATAGCTTCAATATTTATAATAAATAAATCGCGAAGGGTAGAAGATCCGCAGCCAATTTCGCGTCGTGTCAAACTTTTATTCACTGGTCGTTGAATTTTGACATCTTACTGATGTAATGCTCACTCGTGGTTTGAAAATCACATCCTTCTATCTTTTTATCTTTAAAATCTGGAAAGCGAATCGTGAAGGATATGTTAAATAATAATATAATTTTGAGTTATATAAAAGCTACTAGCCAATACTTGTTGGCTTGCAAAAAATGTGTGTTTAATTTTGTGAATGTTATGGAAAAATATTTGATAAGATATTGGATTGATATATTTTTTAATAAATTAATATTTAAATTATAAATTTATAATAGTTCATCGTGGACGTATACGAACTGCACAGGGTTTCCGAATGCTAGTCAACTTTCTAAGATTGGATAAATAAATACATATGGACACCCCCATGCCTGCAGCTCAAGGTCTCACTATCAAGGGGGAAGGTTGCGCGCGTAGGCCCTGCGCCCTGGTTTCCAGCGACGGATATCCAGGGTGGCCCCCCTTTCTATCTTCGCGGCCTTCTTCCGGGTGATAACGTCCTGCGAGGACAGCACCCCACGCCGTCTCGCTGTCAACCATAGCGCGAACCACGGCTGGCAACGAGAGGTTGTGCCTCACAAAGGTATTTCCAGCCTGTCCATAAGTGCAACAGCAACGGTTGCTGCAAGTACCTACCACAGAGACAGCCTTAGGCATTATATAGAAGTCAAAGAGTTACTGCCAACGTCAAGGTTACTGGTAGATTTACAATAATATAAATTTTATCTCTCAATCTACGTAAAAATGCTGATAGAACCCTGCGTTGCAGTGGTGGTGAGTTTTGACCTAGATTTAACTGCGATTAAGCTTACTCAGGAATTACATCTACTGTGATATATAATTAGAAAGAGAGTTTTAAAAATAAAATTGTAAATCACAAAAATGAAAAAGTATGTGTGTACGTACATGTACGTACGGAAGAACTTATACTTATTTAGGTCAATACATTAAATACAATCGATAACAGTTTATTTAAATAACTTGGACTTATTGGTGATTGCTTCGCAACCAACTGCATCATTTGTTGTAATAGCGCCAACAAAAATACGTCATCTGTGAAAATTTTAAGTCTAACTATCACGGTTCTTGAGATACAGCCTGGTGACAGACGGACAGACAGACAAACAGAGTATTAGTAATAGGGTCCTGTTTTACCCTTTGGGTAAATAACCTTAAAATTATAATGACAAACAACAAAGTAAAAAACTCGGCGAACGCTATTACACTATAAAACCTGACTTTTATGCTGTATTATTTGCAGTTTGTTTGCAAGACCTTATCCTCATAACAGGAGTTCCAGAAATAGTTAAATAGAACAATCGCTGTCCCAAAATGGTACTCAAGCCGAGCTTGCGTAGGCATTACAATGCTGTTCTCGTACCAGTTACTAAATATAATAAGAGCAAGCAACAAGATAAATCGAGCACTAAACATCTTAGTTTATGTGGATCCTACAATCCCGTGTTTATACCTGAACATTTATCTCTCGAAAATAAAGCTTTACATGCACCTCACGTCTAAAAGCAAATGGATTAACATGTAAGCCTATCAGTAACGGACCTACAAGTAGGTTTATTTGGACGCAAAGAATTCAGCAAGTCAATGTGAATCAATAATATTCGCGATTGAAATAGAATTTTTTGTAATTTAGAAGTCTTTAAGTAAATATTTAGTTTGAGATAATGGACATTTTTACCATAAACGTAACACATGTTTATGATAAGACATGTTTATGTTTATGAGAAGATTAAAATGATAAGATAACAGCACTTTTTCGGGAACATTTGACGTTGAATATACATATATTTTGCGTTATTGCTATTGCGCAAAAATCTAACGTAATGTATAAAATTAATTTTATTTACCTGAAACTAAAAACCTGTAACAATTTATTTATATTACAATTACTTTCAAAATGAATTGTCTCTATATACATGTTACTTAAAAATACAAAATTGTGACTAACATTTATGTATAAAAGTATTTATGGAAGAGTATAGTCTTACTTTTTAGCTTAATTGGTGTGTATATAAGAATAATCTCATTAGTTAAGACAACTAAGAATGTAGTGCAATATATATTACTGTACATAAATAACTAAAAAATATCTCACTTTTTCTCATGCCACACGGCAACCGGTTTAGTATTTCAATATATAAGATCAATAAAATCTGATACCTTTTTGACAACCCTAAAGAAGTGCCAGTAAATGGACGAAAATTTATTACATAGCCCCTGTTATACATAGCCAATTTGTTACATAGCAACTGTGGTAGGGTCACCGAACAGCCTTCCCTGTGGCACGAATGGAGAGGGGGATCCGCTTCATTAAAGGGTGGCAACGCATCTGCAACCCTACGGGTGTTGCAAATGTCCATGGGCGGCGTTTATCGCCGCCAGCTCGTTTGCCACCTTCTCACATAAAAAAGCTAAAATGACGTATTCACAATAGAAATATTACGACATGCATGAAAGGTTTATGAAATTTCAATGAATTATCCACTTAACATAAATATTCATAGAATGCGAAATTAATTTTAAACGAAGTTTGTGACTCACCATTTTGTTTTAGTTTCGTAGTCCGTTACAGTAATTAATGTTTTTAGAGACTGTCATAAATTTATAAGCAAGGTTTGAATAAAAAATATGTGCTTGATTTTCGCAGCGTATACTATGAAGTATTTATTTGTAAATAGATCATATATGTAATTGACCTGCATATCATATACAATACAATTGTTATATACAATAGCATATATGTCCCCGTGTTTCATCGATTTTATTTATATTACATTTAACTGTAACGGGAAATAACACTTAAAACTATACATTTTTTTATGGGAAAAAAAGCGGCAAACGAGCAGGATGCTCACCTGATGGTAAGTGATCACCGCCGTCCATGGACACCTGTTTATAAATGCCAATTAAATTAATCTCCATTTTATTAATTTCGATTAAACTGTAATCAGTAAAGGGAAGTAGGTATAGATGCGTAAAATGCCTTTCACAATTATTACAAAGCCAACAAAACCCTTTCTACTCTGCTATACAAAATAGTACATTTGACACTAACGCTGCGTATCTTCTAAAAAAGAGGGAAGGGGTTGGAGGATGGCAGTTGAATGAGGATGATTGATGAAGATCCATCCAGGATCAAAGAGTATTAATCAAAAAACGACGAGTGTATTCCTTTATCTTCAATTATATTCCATCTGTTACAACCTTAACTCAACTAAAGGCTTAATGACTTCCTTAAAACACACTTATTTTGAATTCATCTTTTTTTACAATTTAATGTTCAAATGTGATGACCATTTTTATTAAGAACCCAAATCCAACCATTGGTTCCACCTTTACGCACAACAGTATTGGGCTCAAGCTCGTTTGTCCCCAGAGCGAGCCGACTTTTGAATAATTACGGAAAATCAACTGATATTCATGCTGTTAGTCTCAATACGTTTCGTAAGCACTTGCAAGAAACCATTGTCGATGAGTAGATTAGTCTAATAGCATATATATTTTTAATTAACTCTCAAAAATTTTTAAAAACTCTTTTTCACTACCTTTTTTTTTTAAATTGTATTCTGTACACATTTGTTATTGTTAAGCTTATTGGTGTTACTTGATACTTCGCATGTGGTGTTTACCTTTAATTAATTGTGCATTTAGCTATAGAAATATACTGTGTACTAATTCTAATGAATGTATAAATAAACCAAATAAATAAAATAAAAAATAAATAAATTAAGCTTAATTATCCACGCGGTCAAAAACTGTAGCTTTATATTTTAAACATAGAACTTTGTTCGTCTTATACTTTGTATGAAATCAAATGTAAGAACTTCACGCGTTTATTGCTTGAATCCAAACAAGTCAATGTAGGTATAAAGTTCGCGGAAAGTATCCGAGAAAAGCTATCTCCGTTGCGTAGTGAAAGGTGTTAGAACTCCAGAACTTTTTGCTGAGCTGAATATAGTTTGTTTCCACAATATGGACTTTATATTTTGTTTGACTTTTCTCACTTTGTGGATGACGAAAGCAGAAGCGTTCTTTTTCCTGGCAGGTAAGGAAAAATAATGATATATGGCGTGTATCTCGATATATTTGATTCTCAAATGTTTTGAACAAAATCAATTACGTCACGTATTAAATTCAAAGCATTTATGATTTACGTTGATTATACAAAATTGGAAGTAAAAAAATCATGTGTCTCACTCAACCTTTGTTTCTATAACTCATATTTCGTACAAATTAGTTAAAAGGAAAAGAAAAATGAAGAAATTTTCATAAAATGTTAAAAAGTTTAAGCATTCGCTCATTTCTCAAAGTTTAAAAAAGTAGGATAAATTCATCAACCCTGACATAAGAAAATTTATTCATTGTATTTGACCAAAACTTCATCTTGTTTCGTTTTATATTATTCATTTTGTAAAGTATAAAACAAGAAACGAATTTCTAGTATATTTCTGGTATACTATTTCTGTTATGGTTTTGCTTAGCTGTTTTATTTTATTTACTGATAACGTATAATGCACCTAATGTGAATCTAACAATTTATATCTATCTGTGTATATAAATATATACAAAATTGTTCATGTTAATAAAATTTTAAATCTTTTGTATGTTTATTGCAAGTAGTAAAACAAAGAAAATCATATTTCCAATTACTATATTACAACTATGAGTATCAATAACTGTAATAGAATTGCAAAAAATCTGTTCAATTTATTAATTAAAACAGTATTTATCGTTATTCCGTCATAAAACTAGCGAAAAGTCAATCCTACAATAATATAAGATCAAAAGATGTAGGTACTTAATATAGTTGAATTTTCTAATCTATATATACTTGTACATTGTTTTCTTAATTGCAGAAAAGAACGAGCCAATATGGTTTTGCTTTAAGATATGTCCACTTTATTGTAGTCCACGGAGACACGATCTGGGTAAGAATACAACTTTAAAAGTAAAGTAACAGCCTATACATGTCCCACTGCTGGGCAAAGGCCTCCTCTATGTAGAGGGTATCAGGGCATAGTTCACCACGCGGCCACACTGCGGATTGGCGGACTTCACATATCCCCGAAATATGTTTTTTTTTTGTTATTATTTCGAAAATATCCAGGTTTCCTCACGATGTTTTCCTTCACCGCGGAGCACGTGTTTAAGCACGTGTTTAAACACGAATACAACTTTATAAACGCGGAATACAACTTTATAAAACACAAAGTATATTGTTATAAAAATCACAATTTTAATTAGTTTTTATGTTTACTGTTTGCTGGGTACTGAAACAAAAGATACACTTTGATATTGCAAGACACTAGAGAAAAAACTAAAGTGTAAGATAGTTCCGTGTTGAAGGCATTAACATTTTTTGAACAAGGACATAGAGTCAACCAAAACTCTCGGGTGGGAATAGAACCCTTCAGCCATGGAACTGAACTCTATCGTTTAGCAAAAGTGCCTACCGTTCTCGAGTTCATTAGGTAAAAGGATTAAAAAAAAATTAAATACGCAAAATCTGATAATCCGTAAAGATGACATTTATTCAATATAGGAGTGTTCAATGAATGTTACTTTAATGTTATTATTACACCATAAAAATATATAGAAAGTCTCAAACTTGTCACAATAAGATTAAGAACTCATTGAATGAACAGATATTTTTATCCGAATTTCAAAGAGCTTGTTTGGACCAAACGTATGACGTCTTCCGCCAGATCACCAAACCCAGAAACAAATGAAAAGCAAAGTTTTGCAATTAAATATTTAGACAAACGGATATCTCTATTTTTAATAATTCAATATACGTATTGAAAATTAAAGTGATTACTAACATTTTTATATGTATAAACGTATTTTCATTAAGGAATTTGTTTCATCTAGATGCCTCTTCCCTTATATATTGGGACGAGGATTATGGTTCAATCACGCACGAGGAGCCCGAAAGTTTCGTACCCTACCATTACTTCTGCAAGCCACCAAAGCAGAAAACCACCACCACAACGCCCCAGCCTACCACCACGATGGCCACCACAACGGAAGAGCCAACGTGGATTTGTATGGTGTGCATGAAGAAGTGCGGCAGTTTGAAGAGCAAATAAAATCGAATATTTTAGTATTTACATAACACGTACACAAGGATTCTAAACCCTTTAAGATTTACATAAAATTATAACATCGGGGCAGCTGTAAAATTTACGTAATTGTCTTCTCAACATCACTGGAATAGATGAATAAGATAATGTGTGATGTTGCATCAGTCAATCATGCGCTCATTATTTTTATTATTGCATGTGAAAGGAAATAAACGTAGTGTAAACAACTGAATTGCCATTATTGTGATTTAACTACATTAGCTAAAATTACAAAACAATCTTTTTGGGAAAACTACATCTTTAACGTAAATAAAACATTTAAATGGTTATGTATGTTCTATAATTATTGTATTTGTTTTGGTACTTATCTTAAATGCACTGTAACTCGCCGTAACAAAGTTATATTATACTACTAACACTTAATTATAGCATATTACCCATCTCAATAGACTTATGGAGTATTTAATTTTAAGTATAATATTATTATAATTGTATTTACTTTAAATGCGATTCTCATCTGAATGCCTGTTTAATTTTCAAAATCTAAAAAAGGTATCTACTAAAGCCTGTGTTATCTTATACGAGTTTTAAGATTTCGTACATGTCAAAGAACTGTGTACCACTAGTTTCTAAACAATCACAATATCGCTTGTGTAACCATCCAGTTACACTAACGACAAGGAAAACAACCGCTGACCACTTAGAAAACGAACGTGATGCATTTCATATTCTGATGGAATTTGTAGCCCATTGTTTAAACTCAACACTCTTTCACTTTAACCGTACATGGTTCTACCGTGAAAACGAAAGCGATTTTCTGAATATAAATTTTCTTTCCACGCATCTCGAACGGGTAAGTGGAAACTAAAAAACTTCGAATGATATTCATCATACGAAATTTCCACTTTTTCCTCAAATCTGATCAAAGACTACTTTAGAAATAACTAGTAACTAAAATGTGTACCGAAATATTTTCAAAGGTTTTCTTTATATTAACTGTATGTTATCCCAGTTTCGGTCGATTCGAACTCAAAGAGTTCACGTTTAATAGTTTAGAATAAATTCTAACCGCCAAGATTCGAAGTGACAGACGGAAGTACTCAGGATCGCGATAATGAAACGTAAGTTCAAGAGTAATTGAAAAAGTAAATGGAGACAAGCACTATTTATGTACACACTTAACTTACGCAAGGACCGACGATCTTGTAAAACAAGTTTTTAGTGATAACATGCAAACACGTGCAACTCTCACTTTTATTCGTTTCCTAATAGCTAATTGGCCTGCGACTCCAGTTATGGTAAAGACCTGGAACGTGTTTGTTTAAGTATACACGATCCTTGTTTATGCGTAATCTGCTTTAATGATACATAAATTTTAAATTACGTAAACGTTACGATTTAAAGACGATAAAAAAGGTTGACACCAAAAGAAACAATTAAAAGAAGATAACTAGAGAACACTTATCCCTTTACTTGCACTGTGCACTGTGTTGTTGATATTATATGCATGCTAATACTATTTCTTTTTTAGACTTTTCCTTCAATACTAAAATAAATTCTAGTAATGGCTGACTCGCGGCCAAATAGCTAATCATCCTTAACTGAGATAATTCCGTGATTTTATTATAAAACGGGCAGTAACTTGTTTAGTTTATTTTAATTATTCTATAATCATAAGCATAATCGCATTTTTCTTCCTTTCCAAGTCGTAGCGGCTTTTATGATTAGAAATGAAATATTATCAGTTTGCTTACTAATAAAAATTTAGTCTTAACTTGGACAGCTGTTGTGACATAAGGGTGTGAAAGAATTTCCGATTGGCCGACTAAGTGGATCAGTATCGATACGAGTCCAACTCAGATAAATCCAATTAGAAGTCATCGCATATTGGACCACCAGACTACTTGAAGGCCTAAAGCAAAGAATATAGAGCCCCGTGAACCTATACCAGCCACAGCACAGTTTAAGCCGTGGACGGTAATGATAACGGCACATCTTTTTTTCGTATTTCACGTGAATAAACACCCTGATGCGAAACAACTATCTGTGAATCACACAAGTAGTTGTCCCGTGTGGGGATCGAGCCCCCTGACGCCGAAGCCAATACCTTGGCAACTGTGCCACGGAGTCATCTAAACATTTATTATAAATCACAATACCGTTCTCCTTTTCATTCCAACTCGCCCTATCAAAGTGGGCCCAAAGCTGGCCTTGTTCTCCTGACAAAGGCCTTACAGCTCTCGAAGCTGTACGAGGGCATTATAATTAACAGGTTGAAGAACTTCGTCTATCGTATTCTGACATATTTCTCCCGAACAATTTTGTTTCGAATTTAGGCCCTACCTTGATGTGGAGGATTGTATCAAGTGCATAGATTATTCAGGCTCTGTGCTGAAACAAGCTTATCTCAACGAAATTAAAGCGAAAACATCAGTTATATAAAGGTAAACATAAAATTTTCTAACATTTTCTATGTGCACACATATTTCCCAACGTCTACAGATTTCTAAAAAAAAATCTTCAAAAAATCCGTAGCCTTAACGTCTTCAAACATTTATAGAATCTCTACATAATCAAAATCCTCAGATATATCGTTAAAATAAACAGCTTACACAACAGAAAATGAAGTTAAATATAAAAGAAACCACTCAGGAGACTGCGTTTCATACTTTCAAGTTTGTAATAGACGTGAACAGGCGGGCCTGGCTATTGTTTTTATTAGCAATTTATACCACTTTTATTGTTATCAGCATCTCGGTTTACGTGAAAGTAATCCCTGTTACGTATTTGGCGCGTAATTTAGTGGGGATCAACATTTTACTACTCGCTGCTACGGTTATCTCGTCTTCGCCTCAAATTCGTTATTGTATCGAACAATTTACCTAGTACGCAAACGAGATATCACCATAAAATATTTTACGGATTGCATTAAATATTAACTACTTCTAACGTGAAACGGTTTTGGATACATGACTTCTTCATAAATTAACCTTTCATAAATACCCTATATAAGCGACCATGAACTTATAATAAAAAAATCTTTTGCAGCAAATAAAACGTGTATCATATAAATGTGTAAGTGTATATAATGTGTAATAAAAAATATTGTTTCAATGAAAATCTCGCTAATTATAAGGGTGCAAATCTACTATACAATAAAACGTATCTGAAAAAAGAAAATGTTCATTTAATGAAGAATACCCCAATAAGGATAAAAAATGTCATAGGTACGTGGTCAATATAAATCTACTAAGTTGGACATTGTGAATTTAAAATGAAATGTGACTTAAAAAAACTCTTACATAAAGTAAAATTTACAACTTTAATGTTATATACATCAGCGATAAGTACCGTTAGGTTAGAGTATACTCTATCACATATTATATGTACCTGTTTTTATTTATGTTATAAATATTCCTCTAATAGTCTCTAGGGTTATTTACAGAAATTGTAGTTTACCACACTAGATTGCCATTTAGAATAGTTAGAGCCGCTATATGTATAATAAAATGTAGTTATTTATATTATTCCTTCGTATTATTTAATCTGAAAATATAGCGATAACGTGAGATTGACGCGAACCCGAAACTTTCATTACACGGTCGAGTATGTGACGTTCCACTTAATGGAGTGTTAACACAGCTTGAAATAAGATATTCGTTATTAAAAAAACTGTTATTGTTAAATGATATAGCTTTTTGCAAGGCTAACAATACGTTACAATTTTTAATTTCTTTGTATTTTTCATCAAAGTATATCATGATACTACGGTAGAAAACTTTAATCAAAAATTGTTGAAATAACGCGTTAACCAATAAGATATAATATATAAATATAAGAAATTATTATGTTAAACTATTTATATTTTTGTTTTTAATAATCTTATATTTATTTTCTAAAAGTCAGTCTTGACTTTGTAGAGCGTAGTCAATTACGGTGCCAACTGAAGTGCTAATTTGTAAGGAAATTTCTCTTCTAATAATTTTAAATATGGACTCTCTCTTAGTTTTAGCCTTTTGCATCTACAGTAATGGAATCTACAGTATTCATGCTTTCAATGGACATAGATAAATATACAACTTACTTTCCTTTAACAAAACTTAGCGATGAAATTTAATTAGCTATGTTAACTTTTACACACTCAAAACATACACGGTAACCAACACAACCGCTTTACGATTTTTACAATCCTTTGAAAGAGATAAATTTGATGAAATCAGATTGTAAATATCTGTTGCAGTAAATATTGTCTTTCGATTTATACGTTCCTTCGTAGAATTACAGATCAAAGTAATCTCCGACACGTAACGACGAACGAGGATGATGACGACTTTCTTCTAAAGTAGCGAGGATCGGTAAGATCTCTTTGTATCCTTAATTCTTTTTTTTTTTTTCTTTAATTTAAATAGTTATTAGTTTTTTTTTTTTTCATTTCTACGAGTACGTATTTTTTATATAAAAACCCATTATTTTTATTAAATTAATTACTTGCATAATTACCTTACTTTATATATTTTTATGTCAGTTCTTTCCAATTTTTCTTGAAATCCTTTTATTTTTAGCGTAGTTAGTTTTTCAAAGGGCTTTCACATAAAGCGGCTGCCCATATAATAATAAAAAACTATCGACCCTAAGAATTCAAACATAAAATAAATGTTCGGCATACAGACGCTATTAATTAAAATGTTAGACTACGTGGCGTCTCTAAGGAGCAAAATAATGTCCTGGGCACACTGACCATAAACCATTTTGCCAATGAGTTCGGTGACCAGCAAGCAAGATGGCTACGGTAGAGGGTAGGTATCAGGTGTGTCCAATGAATGAAAACATATTTTTAAGCAGCTTAAATTAATTAACTTAGAAAGCTTGTCTTGTTTGTTAAAAAAATTGTATGCTAAGTAGTCAACGTCGTAACAAACAGTACCACGATCCATTCGCTTCTGCAAGAACCAGTTAGGATGGAGGAAGTACTGGAAAAGTTCCTTCTGAGGCATATTGCAGTAAAGAGTGGATGTGAGGCCGTTTCCTCATTGAAAAAATGTCTGAACTATAGCAGAAGCATTTGTCAAGAATGGTTCCAAACATAAAAATTGTGAAATGAATTAATCAGTTTTGTGTTTTGTGTTATTTTGTTACCTTAAATACTATATCACCTGATAATTAAAATTTAATTTATATGGTAAACTTACTAGCTCAGTAACAGCCTATTCACTCTTGCCTTGAAGACTCCTTTGCTCTACGCAGTTTATCTTAAGCTGAGGGTGACAGTGAGGAACTATTTTGCAAAGTCACATATATTGGTGCCAAAATATACCTACACACCGATTCACTGTTGATTTATTATTTACCCTTGGTGAGTTCTATTGTTCTCTCCAGATTTCATCATCATATCGGAGTGATTAAAACCTTAAAAGCCTTAACCTTATATAACCTTAAAAGCTATTTTTAAAGAAAGTGCAATTGGTCGTAAATATAACCGACCGCTCCCTTCAGCTTCAATATGATTGTATAGATGTTTTTTTTTCTCCAGCTCGAGTCTTATGCTCTTTGTTTCTGCCACTGTGTCTGCCTATTGGTAATGAATAAAATCAAAATATACAACCACAATACTATGTCCTTTTATAAAAATTATTTCTTTTTGTTTAGTGACCATAAGAAGAAAGTTTATATTTAAAAATAAAATACAACAATTCTTTGCAGTTTTTATCTCTGCCGACTAATGACGATAACTATGTTCATACTGGCAATTATAGCTTGCGTTATCACTTCAATTTTCTTCAAACATCCGTACACAACCATATATAAGCGATGCAAAACAAAGTATACAAATCACAAAGGCGAAGAGAGTCAAACTAAGCGGCTGAAAATGAAATCTGTTGTGATATTCGTGTCTCTTATGATATTGGCCATTCACGTTGAATCGGGTAAGCTTTGAAAAACTGTATGTTATATATCACTAGCTGACCCGGCAAATGTTGTTTTGCCGTACAAATTATTTGTAGAGTAGAAAAAAAATGTTTGAGGTGGACCACCCTTAACATTTAGGGGATCAAAAATAGATGTTGTCCGATTCTTCACCCTGGCCGATATGCACACAAAATTCACGTAAATCGGTCGAGCCGTTTCGGAGGAGTTCAATTACAGACACCGTGATATTTATATATTAGATAGATTATCAGCATAGAACAATGAATAATGAAAATGCAATAAAAGACGACATTATTGAGTATGGACGAGGTATTAACATCAATGGCGAATACATCACCCACCTCCGATTTGCCGACGATATAGTCATCATGGCAGGATCGCTGGAGGACCTTAGTACTATGCTCAATGACCTCAACAGTGTCTCCCAACGGGTGGGCCTTAAGATGAACATGGACAAGACGAAGATCATGTCTAATGTCCATGTCACGCCAATACCGGTTGTTGTTGGGAGCACTGAGCTCGAAGTTGTTGACGAGTACATTTACCTAGGACAGTTAGTCCGGCTAGGTAAGTCCAACTTCGACGCAGAGGTCAATCGGCGAATCCAACTCGGATGGGCAGCGTTCGGGAAACTACGGCAAATCTTCTCGTCAAATATACCTCAATGTTTGAAGACTAAAGTCTTCAATCAATGTGTGTTGCCAGTGATGACCTACGGAACCGAGACGTGGTCCTTCACTGCTGGCCGTATGAGGAAGCTCAAAGTCGCTCAGCGAGCTATGGAGCGGGCTATGCTCGGTATTTCTCTGCGTGATAGAGTTCGTAACGAAGACATCCGCAGTAGAACTAAGGTGACCGACATAGCTCAGAGGATTAGCAAGCTGAAGTGGCGATGGGCCAGCCATATAGCTCGTAGAACCGATAACCGTTGGGGAAGAAAGGTTCTCGAGTGGCAGCCTCGTACTGGCCATCGCAGTGTGGGACGACCCCCCACTAGATGGAGTGACGACCTGTGCAAATGTGCGGGAAGTCGATGGATGCAGGTGGCTCAGGATCGTACTTCGTGTCAGTCTATGGGGGAGGCCTATGTTCAGCAGTGGACTCAAACAGGCTGAAATGATGATGATGATTGAGTATGAAATTCTTCATGTCTAATTAATATGAAATTCCTCATATATTAAAAAAAGGTCTTTCTTACACGAATTCAATAACACTTGATATATTCTTTGTAATATACCACTTCGTGCTCATGCGCTAACGTGTTACTAAAGCAAAAAGAAAACGTATGAAAAAATATAAATTTAACTTAGTAATGAACTAAGTCCTAATAATGAATATTTTAGTAAATAAACCATTATCTTCTCTTAGAAATCTAAATTTCTTCGAGATAATTATTCAAAATCCATAACTCCATCGCAATGGAATTTTCTGTCTATTCTTTCACGTCCGCTTAATGGAAAGAAAAATTCAAGTTTATTGTAATAGGTATCATATTTATTTCTACGATAAGCTTACAGCTTCTACCGTTTGCCCCAATCCATTAATCCATTGTCATAGTAATAAAAAGTTATCAGTTTGAAAACAAAAGACTTTCGGCTTTCTAAGTGTCTTTAATCATAAACTAGTTAGTGTTTGGTTGTACCCGTCTTGTGACAATTCCTTCAATGATTTTTTTTATTTATCAGCCCGTCATCGTAATGCGCCCAAAGCGCACGATATAAGTAATGACGCAGCTACGGACCCAAGTGAAATGACTGATGATGGTTCATCGTGGCCTCACCCGGACACCATCCACAATTTTGAAGTGCCGAGCTCTTTTGCGAATGACTTGGGACCGAATAACAATGCTGAACAAACTGACCAGGTCAGTCAAATTTCGTTATAGGAAATAAACCTATCTATATTTATAACTGTATAGTTATAAACATAGATAGGTTTATGATATTTATATTTAACTTTATATAATTTATAGGTTACTTTGGAGTCGTGACAGCTCAGCGTCCGTGCGCTCGCCTGTAATTCAATATACTCGAGCAACCTGAGTTCAATCCCAGGTGCCGGTACCAATGAAATTGTTAATTTTAAGTGCTGATTTATCACGTGCTCAGCGGTGGAGAAAACATCATGAAGATTTTCTTATTCATATTTCTGTCAATATATATATTGATACGGTTCTTCCAGCAGTTATACAATTTACATTCTAAGTATAAATTATCCAATATTGAAACTAACTTTACAAGGAAACTCAATATATCATTTGATTGACTGACACACACTTCAGTATATTTAAGTACCTTTACGCTTTTGAATATTTTAAATAAAAGTCAAACATTCAAAAGGAAATTATTTGAATTTAGAAACGTCATAAGTCTCCCTGTCCATCTGGGTTTTTTATGTGAAAAAGTTGCCAAGCTCACCTGTTCTTAAGTGAATACCACCGCCCATTGACATCTGCTACCCCTGAGGCTTCCAGATGCGTTGACAACCTTTTGAAAATTGGGCTCCGGTCAACTCACTCACCAGACGAAACGCGAAAGTACGAGTATTATATTTCCACTTTACGCCGGTCTTCTGTGAGGTCGTGGTACTTACCCGGACGTGCCTGCCCATTCGTGCAACAGCCGAGGCTGCTGCGTGGCCCTACCATCGTTGTAAGCAATTCTTCTAATTAATAAAACATAATAATTTTTACTTTAAATATTTTTACTTTTTAGCCATCTTCTGGAAAACATCACCGTCGTAACAAGGCAAGCAAACATTAGACAAATAGCGATATGCAGCATCTGCTACTCCTGCCATGCATTTTGATTTTAAGTAAACAGTGTCTATAATCATGAAACCGTTTTTTTTCCTTGCCCTATCCATTACACACTTCATCACCTTGAAATTGAATAATTCATTTTTTCGATTTCAATAAATAAAGCACTGCTCTCATAGTCGAAGCAATCGTCGTGGGGCCAAAGAGACTTATGGAAATGAATGGTAATAAGACAATTATCGTAACTATAAAATGTTATTATTATCGTGCTGCGTTTTGAATAATGTTGAAGTCAATGAGTTATTCTAAAAAGGCGAAAATTTAACTTTTACTTTATTAAATTTATTCATTTTATGCTTTTTCATTTCCATTGATAAATTTAATAGGCAAAAGAATGTTTTATTAGTATATGCAAGAACTCATCATCTTTGTTGTATGAACGATGTACGTATGTTCATTTCAAAAGTTATTAATCGTCTCTATTGCTCTGTCAGAAATTAAAATCTAAAATTAAGCATATATGTAACTTCATATCATGAAGGTCTGTTTGACTGCAGACCTAATCAATTTCGTCGTTTATATCTATCAGTTTTTTCACTGTATATAATGTAAAAAATATAACTCCTTCAATTTGAGCCGTTGACTTATTTACACAAAACAGATAACTTCTTATAATTTGGAGCTTTGACTTGACTAGTTTTTACCAGGAAATAACATTTTTATATGTTGTTGACCTTACAATAGAAACACAGTAACATGCGTATAACATAAAGAAATGAATATGTTGATTAGGCAAATGTACGATAACTTTTATGAAAATGTATCATAAAAGTTATCTTACATTTGCCTTCAATCATAATATTTTTAGATAGCAATTATTTTATTAGGAGATGAACAACAAGAACTTGTTTTAAATTCAGTTTAGAATATCGTATATTCTTGTTAATACATTTTAGGTTCATTTACAGTAATATTATTAATACTCATATATTCCATAAAAAGCTTTTGCTGTTTTAATTTTGAAAGGCACTAGGTGTTAATAAAAATCGATTGCTTGGAAAAGATTTCAAATCGTAAAAATTCACTGTTTTCCCTTTGTATACACAATACCCCATCCAGCTGGATGCCAAATTTCAACTTTCTAGGTCACCTTGAAGTAGGTTGGATTTTTGATCTACACAGCATTCAGTAATAAAAATGGCGATTTTTAAACATTAATGTCTCTATAGCCATTGAGCTATATTTATGGAATTTGGGGTTCTTCATCTGAAGTTCATCTGAGGGGTTCTAATAAATAAACCAAACTTCATTTGTTTCTGAATAAATACATTTTGAGTTATTAGGGGTCAAAAGTGGCTCGTGTAATATATCACACAGCGGTGCGTCGGCAGTATCTTTTTTTTTTTGCTTGACGCAGCGCCTCCAGATATAATACGCAGCGCTTCATCACCAAATTGATTTTCTTTGTTTGACGAGCAACGACACTCCCTAGATACAACATTGTTAGAAATAAATCGAAATATCGAATGGCAACACTGCCACGGGCTATAAAACGAGCAGCGCTGATCATGTTCGTCCCAGTCAGATTGTCCAGTCAGATAATAGCTACCGATCGAGCCGAGGTCCGGCCCTCTCGGGCACCCTCGAATCGGAATGCTAAACGCCTGTTGAGTGACAGCCCAAGCCGAGGTCCCCTCTCGGGGACCCTTGAGCCTGATCACTCCATAGAGCGCCCGCCAAAGCGCCCTAAGAGCTTGGCGGCCTCCCAAACCGGTGATAATAATAGCGTGACGGCCCGAGCCGAGGCTCCCCCGGGAGCCTTCGAGCTTAGTCACCATAACGCATAATAATAATACGCCGAGGTTCAGGCTAGGCGCCTCGTGCGCCAGGCCACTTCAAGCCCGTCGGAACTGTAAAGGCCTCTAAGGACAACAGTGGCTCATACAGCCCAAAAAAAAAAAGAAAAAAAAATCATGTTCGTTCGGTTTTTCGTCGGTCGTTGTAGCATGCTGAAGCTCTACCCGAATTAATTACGATTGTGTCGGTTACTTAGAATTATACTGGCCAATAAGTTCTTTTTAAAAAATCAGTTATCGTTTCTATTTCAACGATATATATAACTCACAGCTTAGCGTTGCCAGTTCCTTTTCTTGGTTTCAATTTGGCTTGACGCGTGTGTAGATCAATCTTGTTTCGCCAATTTTAAATACAGTTAGTAACAATAGAATAGGCTCTGAATTTTTACAATCTTTATTGATCTAATATTTACAAGATTAAATCTATCTAAAATTACATATTATCTAATAAACCTAATCCACGCGGCATGGTGCCAAGAACGCTAGCTGCATTTCCTCGCTGAATAGTTATGCTTAACATTTGAGCGAGAAAAGAACCAGCTCTCTTGTCACCAGCTGCGGCGTTAAGCCTAAGACATAAACTTTTAAAAAAATTTGATGTGCGGGGACCCCACGGACCTAATGTTTCAACAGCAAATGGCACAAATACATAATCTAAACATAAAGACTCATATTTGTGCCATTTACTTACTTCAGCTGCCTCCGATGCCGCCCCGGCCCTGACCGAAGTACCCCTTAGATGAGAGGCAGCCAAAGTGTCGACACAAGTGGCGTCCCAAACAAGGGCTTTGCCTCTCTCCCAAGGGATCAATGTTAAACCGTCGGGTCTCTTACCATCGTCGCGAAAAATGCCACAGGGCTCTAAAATAGATGGAACATTGATGGAAACAAGAGCCCTACGGATGATGTCGTTCAGGGAATTAATACCATTTTCTTTATGCTATAATTTACAACAACAGTCGCTCGGCCACAACAGGGTTACCAATAAATAAGTATCGATCTATCAAAAATACATAGGGATTTATTAAAAATACTTAAAAATAACCAACAACTACGCATTTTTTATATTATTTCATAGTCATTCTTCTAATAGCCCTGAGTTTCATTGGCTAAGTTTCGAGTGACGCCTGTATTCTCATTGCGCCCAGCAGGCACAATGTAACAAATTATATTTACATTTGCTTTTATTAAGTTTAACGTGCCTTATAATGTTTACTTCATTTCTTTAAAAGTAACAAATGGTTTTAATTAGTTTTCAGATTACTTAAGTAAAGCAACTATCATAAATTTAATTTTAAAATAAAGGCTACATAGAATAAATCTTTGAGTTTTTACAGGTGCTTTCTTAATATAAATTCCGTTATACATATTAGACTCCAAGAGAGTCCTTAAACTGTCATCTGGAGACGGATCAGACTAGTATATCTATCAAGTTTTAGTCGATCAGAAAGTTAGAACATCTACAACTTACGATAACCTGAAGTGTTGTGCACTTAAAGGATATCGTAAGTGATCTACTATCAATAACTTTCTTAGTTGAATTTCTTACACTTTTCACGAAGAGATAATTTGTTAGTCCATAATAACTGTATCCTAAAACATAACCATTCCACATTTCAGCTATATTATAGAATTAAATCCCAGAGTCGAAGATCACATTCTGTATTTTTTTTTTTGCAATCAATTTTAATTTGTTCTATCTAATTATATAATAACATAATTTTATATATATAATAACGTAAATATTTCCTTTATCGGCATCATTTTAATCAAATCTTTTTTTGAGTTCCATGTAAATGATTTAGTAGATTAAATTTGAGCAGCGAAGTTTAATTTATCCTTCGGCTTTGTTGGATTATCAAACTACTATCTGCCAACAACACTCCCGCTGAACTCAGTTCATCTATTAAGAATCTCATAATAATCCACGTAGGACAAATTGTACACATATAATTCTATCTGATTAACAGACAAATCAATTGCCTACAATTTAACATATCGTGCAAATAACAAATCTTGGTCAAGCCAAAGTTTTCATTTTGAAATCGTTAACAAATACCACATCTGTTTATTTGGAAACGTATACATCTTTTCAGCATTTACTTAGAAATTTCACAAAAACATTTTTAAAAGAACTGAACAGTAAAAATCTCCGCAAAGTTATTAAATTTTCGGTTCCGCAACCAAATTTTTTCAACCACGCTTTTATAAATTCGCCTCAATACGAGAACGAACGAAAATTTAATACTACGTGAGATCGGCTTCGAGCGTTTCCTTTTTTTTTTTCGTTAACTTCATTTCGCTTCAAAAATTTAATTTGTTAGATATGTATAATAAAACAATAAACGTCGTAACTTCATTTTAAATGATTAAATTATATATTAATTTCTAATTTATAAGTGGTTAATGTTTAAGGGACAGGAAGTTTTCATTTGTATACGTTTTCATTTGTGGTATTTACATTTCCCACGGGGATCGGAGAGTGATTTTAAGGTTAAGCCGTTTCCTCGTTATTGTTCTTTATATTCATTAACTCAGTTAAAATACTGAATTAGAAAAACAACCCTGACCATCACTTAAAACTAACACCATTTTCGACACAAAGACAAAAATAACATGAAATCGACGAATCGTGATTAAAAATGAGTACTGTTAGTAGTAACGTATAATGTTGCGACAGATAGAATTAATTTATGGTAAAGTATATTAATTCTATATATTATTTACCCCTAGTAGCCGCAATACGTTGATACCTGTTATGGGAAACGCTATATGTTACAAAAATGAAATCTGCTGGCCGTATAGTTCTAACTAATTAAATTTAGCAATAACTCGAGAAAGTCGATAGTACGAAATTAAATTTTATATTAAACTAGCTGACCCGGTAAACGTTGCCTTGCCATATAAATTATTTGTAGGGTAGAAAAAAATGTTTGGGGCGGACCACCCTTAACATTTAGGGGGATGAAAAATAGATGATGTCCGATTCTCCACCCTGGCCGATATGCACACAAAATTTCACGAAAATCGGTCACGCCGTTTTTTTACACGGGAATTTTATATATTAGATGTTACACTGTGGTATTTGACATATAAATTGCGAATCAAACACAAAATACGTATGTTCCAAAACATAGCTGAAGAA